TTATCTGTCGTCTGACCAACATATTGCTTCTTACACACTTTACATGTCAAAAGATAAACCACACACTTTGAGTCACAGTTTAAATGATGGTTCACTTTGTATTGTTTACCATCAGCTGTGCACCTAAAAGTGTCGGTTTCGTGAATATTTTGACACGTCAAGCACCTGGGTTTATTACATTTCTTACATCCTTTCTCTCTTACTAATGGTGGTACCTTAGCTCTCACTAAGTAACTTCTTAAATTACGGCTTGTTCTAAACGCCGTAAATGGTTCAGGGGTAAATACTTTACGAGCTTCAGTGTCTAAGTACAAAATATGCAAATTTTTCTTAATTACTAAACCAAAGTGCTTTAACAAAGGATGGAAAGCTATAGTTAAAGGCACTCCTGTCTTACAACTTTTTTCTCTAAGTATATTATTACTTTCCGCTTCAATATTGTATTCCCTGACCCTCTTAAATTCTCTTTCTATGAGCCATGTTGGATATGCTCTATTTTTAAGCCAACTAGACAGTTCTTGTAAGTGTTTCTCAAAATCCTCTTCACGCGAGCAAATTTTCTTGATGCGCAAACCCTGACTATATACGATAGATCTTTTAACGTGCGCAGGGTGTGATGACTCATAATGTAGATATTGATGGCAATCAGTTGGCTTACAAAAAAGACTTGTAATAAATCTACCAGCATCAATTCCCACCGAAACATCAAGAAAATTCACTTTAGTCTGCGAGTACTCGTATGTAAATTTCAAGCCAGGATAGAACGTATTAAGTTTTTCCATAAACTGCAACAGTTTATCTTCACCTTCTAACCAGACAAAAAAGATGTCATCAATATACCGTAACCACACCCAAGGTTTTATTTCTTGTTGTTCTAAAAACTCAGTCTCCACCATATCCATAAAAATGCATGCATACGGAGGAGCAAATTTTGTGCCCATGGCTGTCCCAGAAATTTGACGATAAACATCTGAATTAAATTCAAAATAATTATTTTTAAGGACAAATTCCGCTAAACTAATAAGGCTTTCTGATGACACTGTTTTATCTTCACGTTCCTCTAGCTTGGTGTGAAGTGCTCGCAGACCATCCTCGTGTGGGATACTGGGATAGAGGCTTGTAACATCAGCAGTTACAAGCAATGCATTTTCCGGAACTTTACCTATTTCTTTTAATTTATCCAAAAAATGTCCTGTATCTCGAATGTAGGACTTCCCTGCTTTCATTATGGGTTTAAGATGGTGATCTAAGAATTCAGACGCCCTCTCTGTAGGAGTCCCACAATTAGAGATAACAGGACGTCCGGGTACATTTCGAAGCCTTTTATGAATCTTAGGTAAAAGATATAGCCTCCCCAGTGCACACGAATTTTTAAAATCGTACGAAAAATACTTAAATTCGTCTTTCGAAATGCATCCTTGATTATACAGCTTATGAAACATGTTGTTGCTTTCCTCAGTCAAAAACATCACAGTTTCTTCCGAAAACCTTTCCATTTTGGTGTAAACATTATTTTCACTTAGTTGCGAATATCCTTCTGCTAAATAGTCATCTCTATCCCAGTAGGGGTTTATGTTAACGATTTTTACTTGGAAGAAGACAATAAAGTCGAAACGTCAAAAAATATGTGTTAGTGATTAACTTATTTAAATGGCTTTTTGCCAGGTGATTAACTTATATATATATATATATATATATATATATATATATATATATATATATATATATATATATATATATATATATATATATATATATATATATATATATATATATATATATATATATATATATATATACGAGTAGGTTTGTGTATACGAAACGCAAAGAGTGCTCAATATCATAAAGATAGAGCAAATGTAGAATTTCGCTTACCTCGAAATTCCGCAACAGTCTGTTTCATGAGTAAAGAATCATCAGGCGGTATTAGTAAAATTGCAAAATTTGGTTACGAAATGTTGTAAAATACAGAAAATATAGCCTTGGAAGTTTGCATATTTTCAGTATGTTTGTATTTCGTGCGGAAATTGTGACCATTTTTGAGCCGAAAATGGTAACAATTTCCGCACGTAATACAAATATACTGAAAATATGCAAACTTCGCAAGGCTATATTTTCTGTATTTTACAACATTTCGCAACCAAATTTCGCAATTTCGCCTGATGATTCTTTACTGATGAAACAGACTGTTGCGGAATTTTGAGGTAAGCGAAATTCTCTCTCTCTCTCTCTCTCTCTCTCTCTCTCTCTCTATATATATATATATATATATATATATATATATATATATAGATAGTTAGTTTTCCTTGAAATAAAATTAAAAACTGAAAAAGCCTTTAGTTAAAACAGCTATTGAAAAAGTGTTAACTGTTATTATATAAAAGTCTTTAGTTAACTGTTATTAAAAATGTCACTATTATATATATTATAGGAATAACTATAACTGCAGTTAAAGACTTTTTAATACATACAAGATTTTTAAGCGCATTGCAATGAAATTCGAATAAAAATAAAGTTTGAAAGAGTTGTTTTATTTTACGTACGTATATGTGGCAGTAATTGAAAGACTCTTATTCTTGCATAAAAACGTTTGCCTTTGCATGAATGAAATGCCATCCCAAGATATTTTAATTTTACTTATTTTCAATTGTATATAATAAATGTTAAATAAAGACATTATAGATTAGTTAGAAAAACAATATTCTAATTCCAAATTAGAATTTTAGGCAAAGGCCTACAAACGTTACAAATATTTAAAAGTATAATTTAAAGATAAGTTTCAAGTATTGGACAACTTGCATCTTAGACTAAATTTTAATCTAAGTAAAGAGAAGGGAATCAAACACAACAGTTAAAAAGAACATAGGCCTAATGAAATTAGTAAAATTGCGAAATTTGGTTGCGAAATGTTGTAAAATACAGAAAATATAGCCTTGCGAAGTTTGCATATTTTCAGTATATTTGTATTACGTACGGAAATTGTTACCATTTTCGGCTCAAAAATGGTAACAATTTCCGCACATAGGCCTAATACAAACATACTGAAAATATGCAAACTTCGCAAGGCTATATATATATTTTCTGTATTTTACAACCGTTTCGTAACCAAATTTTGCAATTTTACTAATCTTAATAAGTTCTTTACGGGAATTTACTTTTTTTTTTCCTAAATAAAAAATTAGTCTAACATGCAAGTTGTCTATTAAAGTATTCTAAGCAATTTTCCTACTTACAATAGTCATTGAGCTGTAGAGTACTAAATTATGAGATACAGCGACCAAGCATAATTTATAAAAAAACCGACTTCTCGAGCATAATTATAAAACTATACAAATACACTTTTTGTGGCTATGAGTGTTACAAATTGTAACTCACAATTTGCCTGCTGGGTTTTTGACTTTGTTCAAGTTATTTTAAAAGTGTTATTTAAGAAGGCGTGCATAGCTATCAAGAGCAGCTGTTATATGATAGTCTCCCTCGCAGACGTTCTTGTAGCTCTAACCCTCGCTAACTAGGCGTCTGCTGAAACGAGCTGCACATTCCATTCCCTCCGATCGACCAATCACAGCGAACCTTCTATACTGTAGTTCGGAAAGTGATTTAGGGGCTGAAGAAATAGTATTAAATTTAAAAAGATTTAAACATTTCTGTGCGTATACGGCACGTATGAAAAACGCGTGACCGGAGAGCAGCCTTTAGCGAGGGTTAGACTAGCTATAACAACGTCTGCGAGGGAGACTACTGTTCTGTTATGATATTGCCTAATGCAGGGCCCTTTTAAAAATTCATCCGTGAAAGTTTATTCAGAATGACAACGTCGTTTTTGTTTTGCTTGAAGAATTTCTTTGCTTCATCAAAAGCGGTGCCCTGCAGTTCGCGTCGTGTTTCCAAAGCAATCTATTATTGGCTTTATTGCTGGCAATTCCATATTTCCACTATCCACTTAACCCGATTACAACTATTGAGATCAGTTATTAAGAAACTTGCCCGCGCTTTCTGTTTCAGCGGTTTTCTTCTTTAATGTCTTTATTTATAATTAATATTTAGAAGCAGCTGTGTATTTACTATTTTATATATAGAAACTTTTCTCGTTTGGAAAAGGTTTTTCAGCTAGATTTCTTGTGCATTTTGTTGGATATAAACTTCTGTGGAGAAGACATAAAAAGTCGAAGAAATATCTTAGATCTTAAGTGAGTAAATTTATTTGAAATTAAGGTAATCATTCCATGTTTCGCACACCAATATAGTAAACGTTATGTAATGGATATTATATAGTGTACTGAAAAGTTAACTGGATGCCTCCATACACCTAATACCTAACCCTAGTACCTAACCCCTAACCTATATTGGTGCGCGAAACATGGAACGATATAAACCGAAATGAATCATTCTTTGGGGTTGTAGTATATGGCAAGTCAAGTGCACATGTGCATGATGCACCTATCATTGTTTCCCCCCTGAGGGGGGGGGGGGGTGCGGACGACCCAGGGGACTTTGACCACACTATGAAGCACCGGGGAGGGGAATTTGACCTATGCATCAACTCCCAGAGTCAGGAAATTTTGACATCCGCCATCTTGAAAGTTTGTGCGGTTTTGACATTAAAAGGCCTGGTAACAAGTATGGCGGAGAAGCAAGATCAACTTTCATCGAAAAAGGTATTTTATACACAGTGTCTCAATTTTTACCAAGTTTAAACCAGTATAGACTGTATGTTCACGTTGGAAAACATCTGTGTGCCTTGTTATCTTAGGAATATAGTGGGGAATTTTGACAGCGGTTCCTTGCCCAACAGTGGGGATTTTGACAACAAAATTTTAAAAATGTCAAAATTCCCCTGGGTTGCCCGCACTCCTCCCCCCTCCCCCCCCTCAGGGGAAAAACATTGATAGGTGCATGATGACACGACACAAGTATCCGGAATCACACGGCCGCATGTTCGATTACTGCCAGAACTCCTACAGTTACATTTTTTGCAACTACTCCTGGTTGGGTAGACCTAATAAATGTATAATAATCCCACTTGACAGTTCATCTATAAATCCCTTCAATGAACTAATTTGCACACTTGAAAACTTATATTATTTTATGCCTAGACAACTAGTGGTTGTTGCATATTATTGGCAGTTTTTAACATCCCCAGTTCAAAACACTTTCCGCGTCCTCTTCAGTGGCGTAGCTAGCGGTCCCGCCGGGCAGGACTAGAAATTTAAAAAAAAAGTGAGGAAATGTTTTATAGTGAAGCCGAATTCACAGCTTTTCTTATTCTGAAAATTTATAAATATTTCAGTGCTTTCATTTATTTATTTAAAGTTTACGCAATGTTGCTGTCTGCTCTCTGACCTCTGAAACCCAAAATTAGCTAATTTCCACGCAATTGATTGCTTACTCACGCAATTTGTATAATCGCATGTCTCGTGTTCCGCTGATTTTCATATGGCGGAATATGCAATACATAGTGCTTTATAGAGATTTCGAGCACTGATAAAAGTCATAATCTCACATGTGAGATTATTCATGATATAATCTCACATGTAAAAATTACCGCTTTTCATTTATCGCTTTTCTGTAAAAATTATCGCTTTTCAAAGAGTGTCCTTTATATAATAAACAGAAAAATACATGGGTGCTTGGAAATACCAGATTTATTTCTCGTGTTTATTTCCGCGCACCCATGTATTGTTCTCTATATAATATTTCAACTTTATTAGTGCACACTTGAAATTTCAGACAGGATTGCACACTCGCACTCCCAAATTTTAGTCTTGCACACCTGAGATCTTGTCGAAAAGTGCCATGCATTGCATTCTGCATCCCTAGACTCTCTGAAATGGCATTTTCTGCCTTGTGAGGAACGTTTGACTCACAGATACGGTACTTCGTTTCACCTCCCACTACAACTATACAAACCTGCCAACTGCCATGGTTTTGCCATTTGCTGTGCTTTCTCACAGTCTCAAATCACAGTCTCATGAGAAAGTCTTTAACACTGTCACTGATGATTTTCCAGGAAAGCTGTTTTTAATAAAGTGTATTTATTTATTATTTTATGCTTATAAATGAAATGATCATGACACTGAATTTTGTTTCAGGACTTCCAATTGCATTAATACATTATGTACATTATTATTCAGCTCACTCCCCATTTGGGGTTTTTCAGTGACCGATTACATCAAGTGTTATGCTTACATATGTTACTTACTTGGCCTTAAGTCCCTTAACACACTTCAGGCAAAAATGCACAACCTGTTCGGGGTTGATGTTGACAGTCATGAACAATGTTGTGCTGGAGATTATCTAAAGTGCGAGTTGCGAGTTACGAGTATATTGTTAATTTCTAATAACATCGGGTTTAATTTTAACCCAGGGTTAACACTAACCTAGCATTGAAGCACCGAACTAGGTGTTTACACCTGTGGTTTACACTAAAAATTTGCCATGGTTGGTGCCGAGCAGGGAAATTTTTAAAATTTTGAGCCTCTAGATCGTTGGAAATAGCATTTTCAGAGTCTTCTTTTTTGCTATTTGTGATTATAGAAATCAAAAACTTTTATGACCCCCCTTTCTCTGTGTTAAAACTTTTTTGACCCCCCCTATTTATAAGGGTAAAACTTCGTTTG